AGATTTTTTTTGATCCTACGTCTCGGGAGAAAGAAAAATGAATTCACTATGAGAGTCAGATTTTATAGGTTACAAGTGTTCCATGCGAGTTTTTCAGGCATTATTCCTAGGTTGGATCGGACTTTTGATCTAACATCGACATGGGAATACCAAATCTCCACATACATATATTGTGATGATTTGTGCTCTAGTATTATACCGAATTTATTCGAAATATTCAATATATATATATATATATTAGTTTTGAATTTCAATGTGATTTATTTTATACTCAATAATCTTTTTTATTTTTAGTTTTATATTAAATTCAGATTGATTGAACGAAATATGTTTCTAGATTCTATGAAAAATCGATAGAATGGAGAGAATAGGCTCGCACGCATGTATATATGGATCTATATATAAATATAACTCATGATATTAGTAAAATTTTCAGCAAAAACAGCTGCACTATATATCAACAAGAAACGGCACGCAGTGCATTCCTCTACATAGCATATACCAAAAAGCTACAGATGACCAAAAGGACAAACAAACGGCACACATTTTGACAAATGCTCGATTTACATCAACATCGTTCAGACAGAAGGGAAGTACTTGTTCAGATTGAAAGGCAGCGAGTAAAACTCTTCACTCCTTGTGTCGGATTTGAACGATCTGAATCGTTCCCACCATTGCAGCCCTCGATCTCTCCTCATCGAGCTATCTTTCTTGTGCAACATCAAGTCCAGAAAAAATGCCAAAATCCCGGCCACAAAGGCTTCAGATGAGAAGGGTACGTTGATCATATCGTTAAACTGCAAGAGCAGATGAATGTGTCATGATTCAAACTTTGGTTTTTAACATTTTAGGGCCGAGAAATGGCGAGAAAGATGATTGGGTTTACCCATCTTGCTCGAGTGTGAACCGGGCCATAGTTGTTTAGAGCAGTGTACTCGTTGAAGTACTGAGTTATTGACAGGCCCATGAAGATGGAGAAGCCGAGAATGAACATGGTTTTGAAGCTGTTTAGATTGCAGAACTGGAGAAGACTTAGACCGCCCGCCCCTGCATTTGGTTTGTAAGATGCTAATTGTGTTTCTAAGCTGAGCAGCAATTCTCGGTAATTTTCGAGAAACGTACCAACGTATGCGAAGAACAAACAGTATAGAGCTGCAACAATAGGAGCAGGAATTGAAGCAAAAACAGCTCCAAATTTACCTGATTATGTAACAAAAGGGCATCGGGAAAAACGGGTCACAAACAACTTCTGAACTCCGTATATATATAAGCATTAGAAGGAATAGCTCACCGAGAATGGAGAAGAAGATCATGAAACCGGCTGATATTTGAACCACCCTTCTACTCCCGACGCGCGTTAATGCTAACAAACCGGCATTCTCTCTGCAAGATCATCGAGAAAGCCTTTAATCTCTGACAAATAATTTGAGTTCTTTTAAGGTTAATGTTTGCTTTCTCTTCGGAGAAACTGTCTTACACTGAGACAGATGCTCCATTTCCTGCTCCAAATAATCCACAGAAAAGGATGCCAATTCCCTAGCAACAGAACCAGAAGAAGAATACATTCACATTCACGTGAAAATTGTCGGAAGATTCAATAGAACACATTCACATGCATGTTAAAATGTACCTGCCAACCGATACCACGGCTGAGCACGGAAGGAGGAGGTGGAGTGGCACTTGCATATCGAGATACAGCAATGTATGTCCCAGTGGACTGTTTCCATGAATCACAAGAACAGAACCATGAATCACTAGTAACTTTAACAAACTTTTGAAATCTCGGGTAAAGCAGTAAGCTTTGCTGCGAAAAAAAAAGTACAAGTTTAAGGTCTGACCTCGACAAGGGAAACGAATGAAGCAGCCATCATAGCAAAACCTTCCCCTGCATGAAAGGTTGGAGCCCCCCATTGAAATGGGTAAGGCACTCTGATCCTAGATCAAATAAAGGGTTCGGTCCGAAATTGTACACTGAAATCAGAATATAGCCAAAGTCATTATAGGAAACCCGAAAGGCCAGCATTCCATACCACGGAGCTGCACTGATCAGACCAGCACGATCGGTTCTGCAGCTCATCTGAGTCTTGATTCCTGTGTTCCTATAAGCTCCTCCAACTGTGAGAAGGTGAGCATAAATCCATACAATCACCACAGAGAATATCACAGCAAACCGATCAAAGACGTGTCTTTCTCCTCGCATCACATGAGGAATGTACTGCAAATACGAAAAGACAAAACAGGTAAGACGAGTTCTGCCGAACCGATTCAACCTTTTTGGATCACAAGAAAAGGATAATAGACATATAAACCCGTGAGAATATAACAAGAAGGATGATCTCGGGCAGTCCAATCTCAACGCATTTCGCTAGCTGCAACAAGAAACAACCTGGGACTTGAGCAATGTTCTAAAATCAATGATTCATGAGCAGACACAAGAGATTAATCAATACTAACCAGAGGGAAACCGAGTTCATAAAGTCCTAAACCAGCGAGAGTAACTAGTGGAACCGCAGATAGAGGACTTAAGAGCCTTCACATGGAAGGGAAAAACGTCGAAAACGACATCAGTTGAGATCCCGAATCACACATAAATATGCGAAAAGGACAAGAATTTCCGGTTTTGTATGAATGTTCTTGGCGTGATAATTCTGCTTCCTGACCTGGTTACATTGCGCCAAAGGCCACTGAAGCCGACGATGATCTGAAGAATCGAGGCGATGATAAGAGCACCCTGGATTCCACGCATGATCCTCTTGAATTTCTGCATTCTCATCAAGATCATCACCCTTAGTGCATCAAGAACCAGACTTTACACACACGTAAAAAATCATTTCAGCTGCCCGGGCCTACCTCTTCAGGATCTAATATATCATTGTACCGGGCAGCCAAGATGATCGAAACTGTCATCGGAACATAGGAGTAAGAGGCTCCAATAACTGCGGGAAGACGGGTTCCGAAAAGGGTTTGGAATAACGTGTTCAGACCAGACACGAACAGCAGTGTCTGGATCATTTTCGCCTTCTCTTCCTGCACAAGAGTAGAACACAGAGTTATCAAAAAGGGTTTTTCCCCCCCTGAAACCCGAGTTCTTGACATTGACTGAGAAGACTCACATTTCTCCCTCCCATCTGTGGAACTAACGATGAAGGGATCAAAACGGTTGTTCCAAGCATCACCAGATAGTGTTGAAAACCGAGCAATATCGCTTCCGCTGCTCACAAAAATCAGACCTTTGCCCATTAACACTGATCAAGACATCGCTAACATGACAACGTTGAGTAGAAATGTGAGAAGAGCTCACGCCAAGGAGGAGGACTGGCGATGCAATAAGAGATGCCTGGAAGCTGATCCTTCACCGGATGCGGCTGAAGTTCCTCCTGCTTCGGCGGAGGCGCTGCTCCTCCTGCCGCCATTTTCTATATCTTCTGACTCTCAAAGGAAGAGGCTTTCCCCGAGATGTCACAAATCCAGCCCCAGAAGAGGAGATAAATGGTGATGATGTGAGAGAAAACGGAAACCCAAAAGATCAAAAAACGTAAAAAAAGGTCCAAAAATTCGAAACGCAAAATGGAAATGGGGAAAAATCCAAGGAAACCTCAAGGGAGAAAGTGTGAGGAAGGTGACAGGAAAAGGAGAATTCAAGCGTCGGAGAATATATGTAGCAAAAATCTGCCTTAAGAAGAACGTAACCACTTGGAGGAACCCACAAAAACATAAGCTTGAATGTGAAGAGGAAGAGGAAGAGGAAGGGCAAAGTAGCAACCTTTTTCTAAATTTTTAAAAAGAATTAAAAGAGAGAGAAAAAAAAGCCCAAATTTCTTACTAAAGCAGTCTGTCAAGCTAATCTTATGGTTCTTTGTGTCCCATGTCTGAAACTATAGTTATCTTCTCTAAAATTAATGAAAAACCGTGTAAAAACACGTGTGATTATAACTAAAAATTGGAGAAATACAAGTAAGAATGGCATCACAGTTCCATTGGATATGGATATTTATTTTAAAATATTTATCACGAATATCAAAATCAAATTATTCCACATATCTAACATTGATCCACATTCAAATGGGTGGTTCATGCCCCTCTTATAATTTAAGAAATATTTTTTAAAAAATTTTGTAAAATTTTATCAGTAAATTAAGAATGTCCCGATTACTTTTGCAGTGCGTTTGTGTCTAGTCTACCCTTCCTCCATCTTTTTCTCTTTCTTCCTTTAATTTGTTTCTTTTTTAGATAATGTGCTCTTCTTTTTTTTACTCAATATTTTCTAGGAGTATAAAATGGGTGGGCCGGACCAGGTCGGGTTCAGGCCGGGCTTAATTCGGGCTTCGAATTTTTCAGGCCAGATCGGCCTGCCCATTTATTTTTCGGGTTTATGATCGGTGGCCCGGAGTCCGGTCCTATAGGGTTTCGGGCGGGTTCAGACCGGGTTTCGAGTTTTTTTTATTTAATAAAAAATAAATATTAATATATAATAATAATATTAACAATAATAATAATAATTTAATAATTTTTAAAGTATAGAAAAACATTGAGATAGAATTTAAAAATCAAAATTAAACTTATAAAATACACATAAATATATATATATGTATATATATAAATTAAACCAAAATCTAATTAAATTGTTTAATAATATATATATATAATATAAGTTTAATATATATTAATCAAATTGCTTTGAAATATAAATATATATATATAAAGCATACAAATAAATTTTTTTATATAATGTTATGTGGTATTAAATCTCAAATGAAAGTAAAAATCTAATAATATAATATTTTTTCGGGCTAAATGGGCGGATCGGACGGGTTTCGGGTCAGACTCGATTCGGTCCTAACTTTTTTCGGGCCGGACCGGCCCACACATTTATTTACCGGACTTGTATTATTAGGCCCAAACCCTTAATTTTTTGGGCGGATTTCGGGCCGGCTTCGGGTTTTGGGTTCTATTGACACCCCTAATATTTTCTATCTATTTTTTTAAATATTTTCTCTCTCTCAATTCTATTAAAAAAATCAACACATATATTTTAATATATTCTATTATTCAAACATAATAAATACAAAAAAAAGAATAACTAAATTAAAGATATATAAATATTATGATTTTTATTTTAATAAATTTTATTTTTTGTTTCTCCATCTATTTCTATGTTTTGATAATATTAATAAATTTGTTATTGTATATATTTATTTAATTATTTGATTTAGTATAGAAATAAATAGACAAATTTATCAAAAGAAATTTTGCATCGATAGTTAAAATTTAATCAACAATATATCAAATTCTTATATTAACCTTTCAATACTTGAACAAATTAGTTTGGATAATTTGTCTTCGAATCATGTTGATAGAAAAAAAATTAAAATATCATTCTAATAAGAGATGAGATATAAGATACAAATATTTGATTAAGAGACTTTGTAAACCACATGATCATGATTTTTTAAGAAAGATGATAGAAAATAAATTTAGACGATTTAATATAATTTTTGAATGATTGTCTAGTTTATTTTTTTGAAAAAAATATATTTCAAACGATTACAAATAAAATTGTTATAGATAGATTTTAAAAAATAAAAAATCGTAGAATTCAGTTGTATGACGTAAATATTTTTATTACGATATAGTTTTATTAATTTTTTTTATTTATTTTATATATAACTAATGACTATTGTCCCTAGTAAAAAAATTATAGATCCGCCATTGGACATATCTGATCGAATCTGTACTTTAATAATATTATTAAATATAAAACTAATTTGATAACTAATTTATATTTATGAAATAACTTTGAAAAAAAATATCCAATGTTTTTATAGATATGTGAAATTGTAGAACATATATTTATAAATATTTATCATGTTTTAAGTCAAATATAGATATTCAAATAAAGAAAATAAAATTATCTGTCAATTTTGTCATTTTGACATGTTTAGGTCGAATATAGATATTTTTAAATATTTTCAATTTTTTACGGATATTTGTAGATATCCTAAAATTGTAAATCAAATACGAATAACAAAATTGAATATTTATGCCGGATACAGATACAAATATCTAAAATTCATGTTGAATTGATTAAAGATGGAACCTTAATGTATATAAAAGGTATAAATTTATAATAATTCTAAATTGCAAATTCGAATTTTATATCTTTACCTTTATATATATTTTTTCCCAAATTGTACATTTTGATAACTTAATGTTTTAGAAATACTATATAGTGAAGCAAACTATGATTGCACAATATATATTTTTAGTTAAGTTAAAATATATTTTCGTAAATTTACTTTTATATTTAAATTTTATGCTTTCAAAAATAATATAACTAATTTTTTACAACATTTTGATTCGTTTGGATTTTTTCAAATTTGCATTATATTCGAATAAATTCTAATTACTTTAACTTTAAAAAGTTATATAAAACTGATTTTAAAATTTTAATTAGATTTGTTTTTTCCGCTAAAAATATTTCCCCTAATATCTTGATCTTAAATCCATTTTGAAAATGTTTTCTGGAGATTAGAATATTGAAATAATTACAAAATAATGCATATGGAACTCCGATATTCAGTAACCCAAAATTTGTATGAACACGTCATTTAGTTGTATGTTTTCACAAAATACATTGGTACGTTTTTTTGGTAAATACATTAACATTTGAAATAGAATCCAAAATGTTACATAAATATAATTATTTAGAAGGTTCCTGAGCATTACGTCAACCCGAAGCAAAGCATCGCTCCGTTTTTTTTACTCGCTCTCTTTTATAATTTAGTCTATGGTTCACATTAATTAATTATTAAATTAATATAATAAATCTTCTTTATTTTTCCGTATTCCAAAGTGAGTATTAATTACGTTACTATTTATGAGATTATTTACTCTGAGATGTAAAGTCACAACACATATTTCCTTTTATTTTTCGGTCCCATTTATATTTAATTCTCTTCCGAGTTTTCACTTTTTCCAAATAAAAATTATATATTAATCTATAATTCACTATATATATATATATCTATCTATCAATTTATTTTGACATAGACATATATATCTATATCTATGTAGTAAATTAATATACAAACCGTAACATACTATATTTTGGGAAAGACGGAGGGGCAACTTTGTCTTTTACTAGTTTTCAGATTTTCCTTTTTATTTTTATAATTGAGGTTTGAGGGTATGAGTTGAAAGGGGGGTTTATCTGTTTTACCCTTAATATGCTACATATACTTCTAACACTACCCTTCTGTAAATAAAAAAAAATTCCTACTTCTATTATACCCTCTAAAATATTTGATGACCAAAATGCCCTTATGTTATTATTTTAGATTTAATTTTTTTAATGTAAAAACTTAGGGTTTCTCTCTCCTCTCTCCTCCCCTTATTTCGGTCTCTCTCTTCGAACGCAGGTTTCTCTCTCTTACTCGATCTCTCTCTCTCTTCTGAAACTTGCTTCTTCTTCTTTAAAATACGGTAAAATCAAAGCTGAATCTTTCATAAATCAGAGAGAAACTTGAAAAAAGGTAAGACATTGTTGAAATCCCAGTCTTTTTTATGCACATTTTCGGATCTTGACTTTTTTTTGTAAATTAATGTTTCTTCAGATTATTTTCTTCTAATTTTTTGTTGTTTGCTACCAATAATGACATTGTTGTTTTGAATGTCGTGTTTACCGGATTTTAAAGAAGAAGAAGCAAGTTTCAGAAGAGAGAGAGAGATCGAGTAAGAGAGAGAAACCTGCGTTCGAAGAGAGAGACCGAAATAAGGGGAGGAGAGAGGAGAGAGAAACCCTAAGTTTTTACATTAAAAAAATTAAATCTAAAATAATAACATAAGGGCATTTTGGTCATCAAATATTTTGAATAACAGTTCGCATGGGTCACAAGTAAGACGAAGTCACAAGGTTACATGGGCACATGGTCACAATGTCACAAGGTCACAAGGTCATTAGGTCACAAGGTCACAAGGTCACAAGGTCATAAGATCCCAAGGTCATACGGTCCCAAGGTCACAAGGTCACATGATCACAAGGTCATATGATCACATGATCACATTGTTCAGAATGTTTAGATTGTTAATAATGGCAACACGAGTCACATGGTCACGCGACGAAATGGTCACGTAATCACATTGTTGAGAATGGTCGGATTGGTAATAAACATGGTCACATTGTTACATATTCACATTGTTTGTTCAGAATCGGTAACTTGATCTTTGATCTTCGTTTTATAACTGTGTTTTCTGCAGCTATGATGGATGGACGAGAGGAGAGATCAACAATTGTGTATTTTTTGTATGATGGTAGATGGGTCCCATGGTCTCATGGTCCCTTGGTCCAGAATCAATCAATTGATAATAATGGTTAGAAAGCTCATACCTGTTCTTTAGATCATTAAATCTGTCTTCAAACTCTTGCAATGTATAAGCTTCCGCGCATCTGAAGAACCTTTCAGCGACAGTTTCACCTCTTGAACTCTTTCTTCCCATGCCTCGATTAACCTTCACTTTCAAATTCTGCGCTATGTGCCTCGCACAAAATCCGTGACCAGCTTCTTTGTACACTTCTCTGACGGCCTTTATTATGCTTCTGTGTCGATCAGATATCACGACGACATCAGGTCCATCTGGGATTGCCATTGTTAACTTTTCCATAAACCACCTCCATGATGCATCTTTCTCTCTGTCGATTATACCCCATGCTAACGGATATTGGTGGTGGTCACCGTCTTGTGCAGTTGCAAC